GAAATTACCAGACTATTTTCAAAAGTGGCTGTACCATTTTGAAATTCCACCAGCAATGTATGAGGATTCTCATTTCCCCACATCCTTATCAATATGCTTTGTTGTCAAGATCAGAGAATATTAAACATGAGAGGAAACTTGTTTTTTTTCTAGTTCTTAGATAAAATTATAATAAAGCACAGCATTCAAAATTAAATGAGGCTTTTTTAGTGGTCCCTTGGATTCAATGAGATTGTAAACACATTTTGCCCTGAAATAAAAATGCAGTTCTCTATATAGAATAAGCTTGTAATTTTTTAAATAGTATGATCAAAATGAAAACCTACACAAATATGAAAAAAAACTCTTAGAGATCTTGAAGACCTCAGAAGATAGGTATACAGTCCTCTTAGGGCTAGGAAAAACTGCTTGATAACTGTTGGTTTAAACAACAAGAGTTTCTAGTAGATTTGTGGCCCAGACAAGAATCTAAATATCATAAACAATAAAAAAATAAAATAAATGAGAGATTGGACTATAACCCAAATCTCCTGGGTGACAATTCAGTGAATCCTACTACTCTTGGTGCTATATCCAGTGATCAGAAACACATTTTTCCCAGTAGTCATTGAGCAAAGACATACCAGCCAAATGAGAAACCCTGGTTTACTGAAAGCAGAGGAATAAACAAGATATTTGTATGTATTTCTGTTTATTGGATAATATGAAATGTTTGCACAGTATCATAAATCAAACACAACCCTGCCAATATCCACACATGCATATGGCTCAAGATTTAACAAAATCTCTATAAATAATTCATTCATGAGGGAAAAGGTAATTTAAATGAACCTACATTCAATATAAAACACTGAAGAACTTGGTAGTGAGGTGGGGAGTAGGAGGGGAACAGAAGGTTTGATGATCTCAGTGTGGCAGGGCTGTGTGTTGGCAAGAATAATGCTATAGTATTAGACACCCTTACCAAGCCTGGATTTGAGAACCTTGGAGGAAAAAGTTCCTTTCACAGACTACTTCTGGTCAAAATCCACATCAACCAAAAATGCCTTCTCTTTGACAGTAAACATTTCCCTCTCCTTTACAAACAAAAAAACCAATGTTCTTTGCTACTTAAAATATGGACAACTCAACTATTGTCTAGGATTGGGGTATATTGAAAATGATTCTATCATGTGCACTTTTTGCTTTCACTGACCAACAACCCTCAAGTGGAAAATATAAAAAAGCATAGTGCTCAGGGGCTAGGGTTGTAGCTCAGCAGTAGAGTGCTTGCCTACCATGTGTGACACACTGGGTTTGATCCCCAGCACCACATGAAAAAGTAAACAAACAAAATAAAGATGTTATGTCCATCTACAACTAAAAAAATTTTTTTAAAAAGTATAGTGCTCAAAGATGCTTCCGCTTTAAAAACAATGTAGAGGAAACCTTTAAAAGGACTATCTTGGACCAAACACCCAAATGTAATATTGGCTGTGGCCAAATAGCAATTATAAAGAAAAAAAAATCCTTCACTTCATGTCTATCCAATATACCTTAAAAAGCAGAGCAAAACAAAACTTAATTGTCCCATTCTAGTTGCTAAATCCAATTGTTAAATTTCAGAAAATTGGAATCAAGGTGTCAAGGTGATTCTAGTATAGTCATACAATGTTCAGACATTGGGCAGGGACAGTGAAGTAGGGTGACTGTTAATATTATTGTGCTATAATTTCTAGACTTGGGCTTGAACCACTACCAGGCATATGGTGACCTTTAAACACCTGGGACCTGTTTAGGCTGAATCACCCTCTGTTTGGGTACTAGTTCTTCCCCTACCAGAAGGTGTAGACATGACTTATTAAAGCCAGTGAGATAAGAATAAACTGTCACAGAAAAAGAGAACAGAGAACCTAAAGGCCAAGGTCTAAACCATGGCTCACACATATTTGTTAATACCTGGGTGAGGCCAGGCTGCTTGGTGCAGACTTGAAATTCAATTGCTTCTAATCCTCCATCCAGTACAATGGGACCTCTTTGCTTTCACCTAGGTGCTTTTAGCACCCTGATCAATAGGCTGCCAAGGGGCCCTTAATCAGTGTTTGTAGATGGACTGTTCTCAAAGGTGCATTTAATAAAATCATATAAGTAGTATTGCTGTAGTGAACACTCTTTGTCAGGGCTAGGACCTGGTGATGAAGTGCACATTCTGCCTAAAGGTACTGAATTAACCACTAAGTACTTGTGGAATAGGAACTAGCTGTACAAGCTTCAGAAAGATTCTCAGGTAATGAAGAAGAGTAATACAACCTTCAAAGGAGCATGCTTCTCTGATCATGAGATGTGTAGGTGGGAACTAAAGAAAAAAGACATTTCAAAAAAGTATCAAATGGAAAAAAAGTATCAAATGGACAGCTGGGATCTGATGAACATATCAATACAAAGAGGGAGTTGGGTCACTTTCCCCTCCTCACTCAGCCTATAGGAATTGGGAGTGTCTTTGGGGAATGGCTGGGAGGTAGTTTGAGGAACCCAGGCACCAGAAGGAAAGCCACCTTGGCTCAGAAATGTTACAAATGTAAAGTTGTAAGTGGGCAAACTCCAGCCCTGCTCCCTGCTGGGTGTAGAGAGATATAGCACCTCAAATATAGGCTGAGGCCCAGGAGATCAAGAGGTAAATTGTGTGTGTGCTGCCCTATGCTACAAACTCAGTACCATTGCTCTTCAAACATTCAGAAAACCCAGAGAATGCCAGGAATCTAAGGGGACCTAGAAGAAGCCAGAAAAAAATCTTGTAGACCATCAGGGGGTGAAAGTTACAGGGAGAGAAAAGCTAAAAGTTCCTCTATCCTGTCCAGATGGATTAAGATACAAGTGAATCATGTGCTATTTTTCAATAGAATATTCTACTACTGCCTTAGTAGCACTTAACAGACTATGGGGCCAAATGCCTTACTTGGTGGTGGAGTTTGGTTGCCTTAATCAATCTCCTGAAGCTTGCCCCAGTCTTATGCCATTTAGGCAGTGGTGGCAAACAGAAATAACAGAAGAGGCCATTCAATAACCCTGCCTGTCCTCCTGCTATATCCAAGAGTAGTTTCTGCTCTATTTGCCTTTCCCTGACCTCCATTCTCAGTCATGGGGTCCACACTTGGGCCTGGGGGTTGATTTGCAGGGCAAGCTCTTTCTCAAAAATGAATTATTCTGGGTAAGGCACTACTGGGCCTCAGTTTTGTCATCTTTAAAATATTCATAACATATGAATGATTCTTTTTAAACTCTAAAGCACAGAAGTGTTATTATTGATAGGTTTGGTTAAATATACACAATCTATTTGTGGAAGGATTAAAAATAATCTGACTCCAGCCTTTATTCCCTTCCATACCTCAGGGGCAAAAAGAAGAAAAGACAAACAGGAAGAGTCCTGTCTAGCCTTATAACCCTTCTCAATTTCTGAGTTTTTGAACGGTGGTGCAAAATTTAAAATCTTGGCTTCTCACTAGGAACAGACCAAGCAGAAAATGTACTAGGCTGGTGGTAGCAGATAGGGGAAACTGGCCGTTAAGTGGGGAGGTCAGTCTTGGCATGGTGGGCAATAACCGTACTTCATTCTCATACATATATAAGGAACTTTTCTTTCCAAAGACTTGTTTTCTGGAAGAGATATGGAAAAAAATCTTCCTATCAAAAAACACTGTCCTTTAGAAAATAAAGATTTCAAGATATTGGATAGGGTATGAAAGCATTCTAGTCTATACATTCACACCTATGTCACTGAGTAACTTAAGACCAGTCACTTTCCATCTCTGAGTTTTAGTTCCCTCATTAGCAAATTGGGGATAATAATCCCTGCCTTGCCCACCTCAGAGTCTGTGTAAAGATCCAATGAGATGATGACTATGAAAGCACATTGCAAAATGTTAAGTGCAGCACCCATTAATGTAGTGGATTTCAACATTCTTAACTCAGAATAACTGTGCTCTATCTTCAGTCTTGACTTTTGCTAATTAAGTTAACCTACAACAACCTGAACTCTAAATGCTGCTCCCAAGCAAAGAGCCAGGTTCTTCACTCACTTGAGCACTTTTCTTTTTCAAACCTGACCCACTATGAAGGAATGGACAGCAGTCCAAATGGCCCAATAGGGACATTAGAGGAGACCTAAAACCCATGGTATTCACACCTGAGTCCTGAGGGTCTAATCTACACTGTTTGACTAGAAAGCATGGAGAAAGCAGTTCCATTTCATGCTGAGAAGCATGTGAAACTGGTGGTGAACACACAGGAGAAACTGACTGGCTTTTCTCTAAACCAAGAAAGCACCAAATGGTCTTTGAGCTGCCCTAGGGCCAGGCCCCATTAAGAAACTTAGCTCCTCAGTGCAGTGCCCTATCACAGACCTCAGGAACTTCACTGTCACCTCAAAGACCAAAGCTCTGAGCTTTGACTTGGCCCTGAGAAGCTAGAGAACATGCCCCATAAAGGAACAAAAGAAGCAAGAGAATATAAATTAAACTGAAAGGAATTTTAAGAAAGTCCATTTTAAAAATCAAAAACACACTGATTTGAATCTCCATTGAAGAAGTTTAGAGACCTATTTGTGAGGAGGAAGACCCAGACAAATGTGCTGGCTCCAGAGTTGTCACAGGTACAGAAATTTAGGATGTGAGTTGGGGAATCATGGCACCAGGCCTCCCAGATGTGTGTGTGTGTGTGTGTGTGTGTGTGTGTGTGTGTGTGTGTGTGTGTGTTGGGGAGAGAGGCAGTGCAGAGGATCTAGAAGGAAAAGGGTTTCATTTTCCTCCTAAAGTGCTAGGAAAATGACAATAAAGTTCTCAAAGGTCCTTCCTTCAGGCCCATGTGACCAAAAATGCAGGCAGGAAAACCCTACCACATACATTGTCTGTCATTCCCTCCCCTCTTCTCTACAATCAATTTGAGCTAGGAACATGTCCAGTAGTTCCATGGCTGGGGATTCAGGCTCTCCAGGCTCAAACACAGTCAAGAAATGGTGCACATCAGTTCTGGGAAGATGGTACAGGATCAATCCGCTGGTAGTATGGGATAGGAAATACCCCATTTGTAGATACCACATCCCAGGCCCCTGCAGCTGTTGTGGTATAGGAACAAGGCAGGAGAATCAAAGAATGACTGGACAAGGCTTTCAGGAGCATGAGAGACCTAGGGAAATAGCAAAGCACGTTAGCAACCTAGCTCACTTCTCTCCCAATCCCCCTCACCCAAATCATGGGTTATACCAGTGAATTAGGATACAATCACATAAATGCATCACTAATCTAATTCTACCCTGTTCTAAACTGGTGAGACCATCCTTCATGAAACTGAGTTTAGTTCTAATCTGCACATACTTAAGAGGAACCTAAAGTCGTACCTTCCAGGGTAGAAATGCTACATTTGGGCTTCTGCAGGGATAACAATGCAGAAGAAGCAGATGAGGTCTGTGTGGCCCATGAAACAGAGCTAGGACCAGTACAACAGGGAAAGAGAAAGGTTTTTTTTTTCTTTATATTTGTTTCAAATTTATCAGTCATAGTTGAACCACACATTTGGTGGTAGTGAACTCTCTGACATTGCAAGTAAGGCAACTACATATACTTTTGGTGGAAGAATAGATTGAACATCTCAAATCCAAAAATCCAAAATCTTAAATGCATCAAAATTCAAAATTTTTTATGCACCTACATGACACCAGAATTGGATAATTCCACACCTGATATCAAGTGACAAGTCATAGTCAAAATGCAGGCACACTAAAAATATTGTATAAATTACCTTCAGGCTATGCATAAAAGGCATATATGAAGCATAAATGATTTTTGGTTTAGATTTTAGTCCCATTCCAAGATAACTTATTATATATGTGAAAATATTCCAAATTTAAAAAAAAAAACAAATTCTGAAACACTTCCAGTCCCAAGTATTTTGGAAAAAAGATACTCAACCTGTATTATAAAAAAATAATGGATTGAACACCTTAGAGGGAAAACTGAACTGGATGATCTTAAAGGTATCAAGGCTGACTGTTTTATACCAGTCAAAGCTTTTAAATATTCATTATTCACATTTTTAGGTTGGATGTAGGGAACAGGAAGTCATAGCAGACTTGGCAATATATTAACTGAAGAAATATGGAAATTAGTGGTGAAAAGTAGTTGATTAGTTGAAAATTAGAAATATACCCATCCTCCTGCCTCATACTTAAGCCTATGAAAAAGCAACATTGGCTTGAGATTAGTTGCAATGGTGGAGTAGGGTGAGCTCAACCTGGGCTCTAGCTTAGTTAGTTCTGACACTGGATTGCTCTTATGAATTTGAGAAAATTACTTCTCCTCTCTTTGTCTCTGTTTCTGCCTCTGTTAAATGAGGCTAAGATAGCCTGATCCGCTTACTACAAAGAATTGGTGTTATGAATAAATGTAGTGGATATGGAAGGAATATATATATATATATATATATATATATATATATATATATATATAAATTGTGACTGGGGGCAGTGAGAGAAAGAAAAACTAACATGGCTCAAATATCTCTAATGCATCATACACTGTAAAAGGTACTTGCACATATGATTTTAATCCAACCCTCACAATAACTTACGAGGTAGATAGTACTTTCCACTGTTTATAGATGAAAAATCTGCGACTCACAGATGGAAAAGAATTTTTACAAAGTTCATATAGCTAGTAGGGAATGGATGTTGATTTGAAATATAAGGCTGCCAGATGAAAAGGCTTGTATATATATTTTTTCTATCGTACCATGCTGCTTGTTCACATGAGGGATGATAACTATGACTATTAGATAGTGGGGTCCTGAGAGAGCTTGAAAAAAAATGCCAGGATGGAGACTGGTGTCATGACAACCTGGCCAGTTTCCTGACAATTGTAAGCTCAGAAGAGACATCTGACTGGCTGAAAACAGTATCATTCTTATTGCATATAAACCCACGAATATCCCTAGCTTGCTGCTTCTCTACCCCTAGCCCTATTTAATGATAGTAGTACATGGCAAATTCATTAAGGGTGACCCCTAATGAATTTCCGGTCTTTCTGCTCCACCTTTCCAGCTCACCTCAGTAGAGTTAAGGGCTAGGAACTTCATAGGGCACATTGAGCTCCCGCCTGTCTCCAGCGCTGTCAGTTGTATTCCCACCCAAGTTTTCGGTTCCAGTACAGGAGGCAGAGCTGGAAAACTTTTGTAGGTCCAGCTCTGTGCATTCGATGGGGGTGTGGACCCAGTGGGAGTGGCTCTCTGAGGCACAGGAGGCCACGGTAAATGACTCCTGTGTGGGGAAGCCACGAGTCGAGCTGCAGTCGTCATCCAGGATGGGGTTAAGTGGCTGGGTCTCAAAGATGCTCTCAATCACTGGGGACTCAGGACTGGTCTCCTGGCCAGGTGGCACGGGGAAAAGAGATTCCTCCTCCACTGCCTCGTCAGCCTCAAACTTCAACGAGCCTCCTGCAACTCGAAGCAGAAAACTGGGTCACCAAAAAGCAGGGTCTCTTCTCAGCAAGGCATCTGGTCCTCAGCACAAGAGCAGGAGGGGATTTGGGAGCCAGTGTCCACCTTCCCTTCCCTGGAGACCAGAGCACCTTGCATCAGACTGAGGTGACACACTTGAGACATATACTTACATTGCGGTATCAGATAGAGGCTACCTGGTTCTGGATTAGAGAAATGAATCAATTGTTCAGAGAATAAAAAATACTTTGTGGAAAATAATTTTTGACAAACTTTGGCCCACCATTATATTTATCCCTGGGTATTATGTCTGTGAAATTATATTATATGGCAATAGGGACTCTGAAGATAGAATTAGGATGATGGACTTGAAAATAGGGAGATTATGTTGGATTACCCAGATGGGTCCAAGGTTAATTACATGTCCTTAAAAGCAGAAGGAGGCAGAAGTGACAAAGAGAGTATTAGAGAGATATGGACTCACCCCACAACTGCTAGTTTTAATAATAGAAGGAGTCCATGTGTCAAAGTGATTATGCCTCTAGAAGTTAGGAATGCTCTTCACCTTATAGCCAGCAAGAAAATGGAACCTCAGTTCTATAATTGCTAGGAACCAAACTCAGTCATCTGCCTAAATAATTAAGGAAACTGATTCTCCCCTAGAACCTCCAGAAAGGAACACAGCCTTTCCAGCATCTTTATTTATTGTGAGGCCAAGTCAAGACTGTTCACCTATGTAAACTATGAGATAATAATCCAATAAATGTGTGGTAATTTATTATGGCAATGACAGAAAATTAGTACGCCTTTCATGTATGAGTATGATTTAACATTAGGAGCTTATTTAACATGATTTTCATATACCAAATTCTGGATTTCTGTATTCTCTTGAAAATTTGGAAGGCTTTTTACCATATTGAATAGTCCCACATGGTAAGAAAGAGCTGGAGCTGAGTAGTGGATTTCCCTTTAGAGAGGGCACAATTCCTAAAGCTCCTGCCCATTTGTCTTGCACCTTATATTGGATCTAATTCACACATTGACCTCACTACATAAGTGTGTGACTGCTGATAATTCTTCATTGAATGAGGAAATGCCTAGACTTCCTTCCCTTTATGGAAACCATGAATATGGAAGCAGCCTTCTTTCATATTCTCTGAAGAGTACCACCTTATTATCTTGGAGATAGAAGAGGAACAGAAGAGAGTCACTCATTATTTCTCTCCTGAAGGAGGTGGACGGAGACAGGCAGTTCTGAAATGTTCCTTCATATTCCATATTGCTGAGACCTGGGGACCAAATGCCTTATTGCCTTTGTTTCATGCTCATGCTCAGGGATTGGGAAACCACTCTTATTTGAGACACTGGATTCTGAAGTCAGAGAGAGGATTGTTCACCCTGAGCCACAATGCCTAGGAGCTACCAGAGAGAAGAGGAATTTTTAAAGTAGAGCTTCACAATGGTTATGAAGAGACAACAGAGAAACACTGCAGCCTGTTAAATGCTAGAATTGTCTCTACTTAAGCCAGGGGCTCAGCCAAGTATAACTATTGGTCTTTTTCAAGATAATTGGCAGGCCCCACAGCCAAATTGACCACAGACACCCTATAAAAGGGAGATTTTCCAATATACATAGAGTGAGGAAAAAAAAAGTAGTATTGCTTTGAGTCCAGTATCAAGGGGCTGAGGAGTCCTGAGCATCTAGTATCCAGAAAACTTTATTTTCCCCCTTACTAACTGAATACCATTCACTAGTTCTAAGTTCCACTTTTGGTGTCCCTGCTTAGCACTGAAGCTGTACTAAACTGTGGTTTGGATTTCTTTTTCTTTATTTTTTTTTTCTTTCTTGGAACTGGGGATTGAAGCCAAGGGAACTGTACCACTAAGCTACTTCTCCAGCCCTTTTAATTTTTTTTTTAATTTTGAGATTAAATTGTTTAGGGCCCGGTTAAGTTGCTGATGCTGGCTGCAAACATGTGACCATTTTGCCTCACCCTCCCAAATTGCTGAGATTACAACCATATGTCCAATGTTCAGCTCTTGGCTGGATTTCTAATATCTTGCTTGATCCTGACCAGTCACCATCTCACCTCCTCCATATTTGCCCACATAATTAAGTCCCACATTATTGGCTAAAGGGTGAATTTGTGCTGAAAACAGATCATAGTGTTATTGGGACTTTAAATGTGACCTTCTATTTGGAATTTCACATGGCCATCTCCTGTAGGCTGGGGTAGATCTCATTAGGTACAGCATGGTCTGGGAAAAATAAGTTTAAATCTGAAAATTACACACTGCATTTCTGCTACCTCATTTTGGGAAATTATCACACTGATTGCAGTTACCCTAGACCTTTCCCACATTTATTAGTATAGATAAGCAGAATTGGAGAACTTAAAAATCAACTAATCCAATCATACCTCACATTTTCAAGATTAGGGAGAAAGAGACCCCAAAAATCTAGATGACTTATTTAATGTTACAACAGTGATTCAGAGGTAGATTTAGAAACTTGTTTTCCATATTCTTTTTCCAAGGGGTTCAGTTACCATTATGTCATGCTCTGTTATGAATGCCTGGAACTTAATAAACCAGGTCCCCTAAACTCTTAGGGTTCTCTTCAGTCACCTTTAAAGTTCCATGCCATCTAATATAGTTTCCAAGGCCATCCCTGGGTTTTTCAGCACGGAAAGGAAAGCCCATTAACTCTCAACCCCAGAAAATTCCTCTTTTCTATCAATAAGAATCTTATTTCTGATTCATGTCAAATGTGAAGCAGCCACCCTTACCACGCTGGCAATGTCTGTTGAAGAACTGCTTGCAGTAGAGGAAGAAGAGCCCCAGGAAGGCCAGGGTAAACACCACTAGCAGACTGCTCACCAGTGCAACAAGTGTGGCCTCCTGAGGGGGCACTGTGGGTGCATCTGCCTTCACTAAGCTCAACTGGAAGGCACCTGTGAGACAAAAATACGGGGCAAGTCAGTCACTGTGGGGAGTTAATAGTCATCCTGACACTGGTCCTGGAATTCCTCAGGGCATCACCCTCTCCCTAAGACCTTTCCCAATTAAGGATTCTGGTTTTACTTCTTTGTAGAGCAGGCAAATTTTAAAGATCACAACAGAACAACTCACATATACTGCAGGCATGGTATAAATTAATACAATTAACTGAAGATGTACATATCCTATGGACTTTCCATACCATATCTAGACACACAAACAGATAAAAATTGATAGAGATACAGACATAGTCTAGACTTTCTTTATTTATCTTTTGATGATTCCTAAGATCTAGAGACTCCTATACACCTTGAATAATAATAATAACAATAATAATTTACAATTAAATATTATAATTTATAAAGTGTTTTTTAAACATCTATTATTTCATTAAACCAAGAAAACCATCCCAAAAGGTATGTAGAAAAACAATTTATAATGAGTCACATTTTTTTTCAGATGATATAAATGACCTTTACTGAGTTTGAAAGATTTGTGGAAGTTTACATATATATATATATAATGTTGCAAAACCAGCATTCAAACCTAACTGATTGCCTTGCTATGACACTCCACAGGAAGGAGCATGAAGGGGTATTCATTCCCTCCAGGAATAAAAGAGAAGTCTTTAGTATTCTAACTTGCTGTCACATAATGATTTAATGAAAAGGAAAGAGAAGTGGATACACACACTGAACCTCAGAGGTGGGGGTCTGCTTTGTGCATGGGATGCACTCTTGGTCCTGTAGCCCTCCAATGCGTGTCTTTCGGTAGAACCTGTAGTCAGATCATAAAGTATGGCAGAGTGTTGAAATAAGCAATGCACTTAGAGTAGTTCTTCTTGGAAGACAGTACCAATACCTCTTCATGGGCTCTTTGCCTCCATGTTTGTTGTTCACTGAGGCCCAGAAACCCTACCTCTTCCACCATTAATCAGACCATTTAGTCAAAAGGACAGCTAATGTCACAAGAACGAGGAGCACTGCTTTGATATCAATTGCTTTGTGACTTAAGTCTACAGTGAAATTTACTTTAAACCTTGGTCTGTGCTAAGAGTGCCAACATGATGAAAAACACTGTTAATTCATCCAAGATTAACAATGTGCTGGGCACTTTATATAGGGATCCTAGGAAGACACTCTTTCTCTTTTGGGGGAACTTAAGTAGAATATAGTATGATATAATGCTTCAACTAGATTCTCAAGAGAAAGGATGAGAGAAACAGAAGAGCTAAAAAAAAGGCTCAGAAGAGCTTGGCCCAGTATAGTGGGTTTACCTGGGCAGACAGTCCCCACAGACTGCATTAGAGGTAGCTGTACAGTTGGCCTTCTGGACACGATTGATGATGGCGCAGGTAATGCAAGTCTGACATCTGTGATAGCCCCAACTGCTTTTGTACCTTCGAGGAGGGCAAGCTGTACAGTATGCGTCTCCACCCTCTCCATAACCACAATCCTGCAGACAGATGGGAGTCATCAACATTGCTATATAGGATCTTGGAGAAGGGATCAGCTCTGAAACAAGTGAACATGGTATAGAGTAGCATTTTTCAAACTGCTAGTTGCAATCCCATTATTAGATCACAAAAATTTTTACTAGGTTGCATCTATCATTAAAAATTGAAGTAGAGGGCTGGGGTTGTAGCTCAGTGGTAGAGTGCTTACCTCTCATGTGAGAAGCACTGGGTTCAATTCTCAGCACCACATATAAATAAATAAATTAAATAAAGGTCCATCAACAACTAAAAACACATTAAAAAACTGAAATAGAACAAAATAGAATAATAATATGAAATATTATAGTACATAGCTTGTTGTAAAACTGTGTATTTTTTATATTAGTCAGCATAGTCTAGTATATACTTTGGTATATACTAATCTCAGTGTCTTAGAAGAACCTAAGTGGAACAAACAATATTTCATGTATGTATGATTACATCAAAATGAAACCCAATATTATGTATAACTATAATACACTAATAAAAACATTTTTAAAAAGAATAAAAGTTTATTTCCTATTCACACTATCTGCCACCAGGAATTTCCCAAGGGCTCTGCTCTACTCCATAGGGTACCCAGGGTAACAGAGGCTTCATCTTTGTGCTGCCATGATTGGAACAACAAATGAAAGAGACCATTGTGAATTGTGAACTGGCTTTTAAAATTTTCCCCCACCAAAATGGCCTATCTCCTTTTGCTCATTTGTCCTAGGCCACACATATCAATTTATATTTAGTAATTACAAAGGTTATGAGAAAGTGCAATTCTACAATGTGCCAGAAGGTGGGGAACCGGAAATATCTGGCAAATAGCTGAAATTACTAACCATCATTGATTTATAAAACTTTCACAGATAAAATATATGTAAGTATATGTTGAATTGTGATAAAAATTATTATTTACTCTAGCTCATAGTACAAAGATATTTCAACGCCAGTTGTAAGATCTAGCTGGCTCTTGTTTCAGCTGTGGAATCAACTCTGACTCTGGCCAGCATCTTCAAACCCTAAAACACACATACATTCTGGGCATCAGAGGCTCCAACATCTGAAAAGATTGAAGTAGCCAGTCTTTAAAGACTATTCCAGCTCTGACAGCCTAACTTCAATAGGAACAAGGCTGCAGCCTGATAACAGTCATAGCTCATTCTCAAGTTATTGCTTCATGGATACTGAATTTGTTTGGAGTGATAAAAAGGTTTTGGAAATAGATAGTGATAATGGTTGCACAGCACTATGCATGTGATTAATGTCACTGAATTGTACATTTAAAAAGGTTAAATAGCACATTTTATGTTAAATTATTTTATCAAAATTAAAAATTAATAACACAATATATCAAATAAATGGGTGAATTGTATGATATATAATCTATATTTGAATAAAGCTGTTAGAAAAATGAAAGCCTTCATAAGTCTGGATCCCTGAATGACTTAGATGAAGTCTATCACTCTTAACAAAGATTACAGTTAGAATCAATAATAAACTCTTAATCTGTTGTTATAGCAGCTAGCATTATCTGAACTAATAGGATAGATACATTTTACCTTCCTATTAGTTGGAAAAATAGAGCATCAGCCAGCCTCTAAACATTCCTGCTATGCTGTGCTTTTATTTGCCCACTCTGGCCTTACTAAATGCCTCACAACCCCCTTCACAGTGATCCCATCTACCATAACCCAAATTTGATGCATATCAGAAAGTATAACATGGGTTCTCAGCATTTTGCTTATAGTCTAGATTTCTTGAGGAGATAAGGAGTTTCTTGGAACCTCTGATACCTTGTATGCAGAATTTGAATCATAATTAGCTGCCTATATCCTCTACAGAGTGTGCTAGAATGAAAGCAATAAGAAATACAGTGTAATGATGAAATGCTCTGATCCAGGGTCAGAGAGATTTAGTTTTAACTCTCACTTCTATCAATGACCAGCTATATGACCTCAGACAATGGGGGGGGGTGCTCAATTGTCTTATAAATAAAATAGGAAATAGTGCTACTTAACTGATAAACATGTTAACATTATATAAGCAGAACAAATGAACAAAGGGAGTACCTCAAATCAATTGAATAAAGCTGAACTTTTTAATGTTGTGTTGAATACCTGGATGGCCATGGGAAAACCAATAAATTTTAATCCATTCTTCACACTCTAAAGAAGAAAAAGTTTCAGATGCATCAGTTATTTAAATATAAAAAATGGCAATGTATGGTGGCTCACAAATGTAAACCCAGCAACTTGGGAAGCTCAGGTAGGAGGGCTGTAAGTTCAAGGCTAGCCTGAACAAAGCAGGGAGACCCTGTCTCAGAATACAAAAATCATAAGGCCTGGCAATATAACTCACTTTAGAATACCCCTAGGTTTAATTCCCAGTATAGTAAAATCAAATAAAATATGAAAACCAACAGTACTGAAAGCAACATATAAGCAAACTTCTCCTTAATATGAAAATGAAGAAACACATCCTAACTATAATCCGAAAGTCCAAAATCTATAAGGGAAAGATAGATAAACCTAGTTACATAAAATTTAGAGAAATTTTTGGAGGTCAAGTATTTAATAAGCAAAATAAAAATAAAATAATTAACTAAGAAAATACATATATTTGTATCTCAGATTAAGATTTATATCCTCAGCAACCAGGAGGCTAAGGCAGGAGGATCACAAGCTCAAGATGAACTTCAGAAACTTAGCAAGATCTTCTCTCAAAGTAAAATAAAGAGGCTGGGGATACAGCTCAGAGGAAGAATATTCCTGGGTACAATCCCCACCATCATTTTAAAAAAGAATTTAATTTGCAAACCATGTATACAACAAAAGACACTATCTGATATAAGGGGAGTAAACAAGGACAGGGTAGGGACAAAGAGCTTGAGAAGAAGATGTACATTAAACAGGGATGAGAGGTGGGWGGGAAAGGGAGTGAGAAGGGAAATCGCATGGAAATAGAAGGCGATCCTCAGGGTTATACAAAATGACATATAAGAGGAAAGGAGGGGTAAGACAAGATAATACAAAGGGAAGAAATGATTTACAG